CTCTCTCTCTCTCTCTCTCACACACACACACACACACACACACACACACACGACGAGCGTGCACACACAAAAATTCAAATATTTACCCTTGCGCGAATATTTTTGGATTGTGTTATCTATCTCCTAAAATTTGCCAAATGCATGAAACAACTCTCTACTAACAGATAGGAGTATGCATCAGCTCCTGATTTGTCATTCATTCTTTTTCCATAGAGTATGTGGTTGATCGATAACTTTTCCTCTCTTCGCAACTTGTAGACTGTCGTATGCTTTCCATATTTAGGAGGCGTTATTGAGCTGGGAGTCACCGAGCTTGTAAGCTAGTTTCAATTTGTCTTGTCAATCTTTATGTTGTTTTGCACGATATCACTAATTACTTTCAATGATATATTGCCTTGTTGAAACATGTTTTTTACAGGTCTTAGAAGATCCCAACCTCATTCAGCAAATAAAAAATTCCTTTGAGGTTGATCACTCTGTTATTTCGAAGAGGCCTAATTACAACTCCAATGATGCAAAAGATGACATGAATGTTGCTAGCCGAAAGCTTGATCATAATGTACTTGAAAGTGATGCTTATCCAGTTGAAATAAACAACAGTTCACCGCATGATAGTTCAAACGGTTTTGTGGCCAATCAAGAGGCAGAAGATTCTTTAATGGTGGTAGGCGTTATAGGGGAAACTTCACAAGCTCAAAGCTGGAAGTTCGTGGATGATAATATGAGTAACGGTGTGCATAATTCTTTGAATTCCAGTGACTGCATCTCTCAAAATTATGAAAAGTTGTCCCCTCTTTCGAGTGGAGAGAAAGAAACTAAGCCTTGCCCAATAGACCGTGAAGAGCACAATCAGAATAAACTGCATCTTTTAGATCACCAAGGAGATGACGCTCAATATCAAGCTGTCATTTCTAAGCTTCTAAAGAGCTCTGACCAATTAACTTTGGGACCACATTTTAGAAATATTAACAAAAAGTCAAGCTTTGCTGGTTGGAAGAATGATACTGAAGCGCCAAGAATAGGAACTGCACAAAAACTATTGAAGAAGGTACTTCTTGAAGTTCCTAGAATGCATGGTGGTGTTACACATAAATTCAGCAGAGAGAATCGTAAAAAGAACGGCCTTTGGAGACCGGAGGTTGATGACATTGATAGAAGCCGTGTTATTTCAGAGAGAAGGCGAAGAGAAAAGATAAACGAGAGATTTATGCATCTTGCATCAATGCTGCCGACTGGTGGCAAGGTACTGGAAGATTTTCTCAAGTTCAAATAGCTGCTGTTTGACGGCACATTGATCAAGTATTATGCTTTGCCTTTGTGTTTGCAGGTTGACAAAATATCACTACTTGACGAGACAATAGAATACATGAAAGAGCTTGAGAGGAGAGTTCAAGAGCTGGAAGCTAGATCAGGAAAAAAAACAAATGATACTGCAGAGCAGACATCTGATAATTGTGGCACTAGCAAATTCAATGACGTCAATGGATCGTTAAAGAGGAAAGCATGTGATATGGATGAAATGGAACCTGAAAGCTGTAATGAATTACTGAAAGGCAGTTCAGCTGATGGTATTGTCATCAGTATGATCGATAAGGAAGTCTCGATCAAGATGAGGTGTCTTTGGAGCGAGGGCTTGTTACTTAAGATTATGGAGGCACTAACCGACCTACAAATGGATTGCCATACGGTTCAATCTTCCAAGATTGATGGGATTTTATCCATTGCTATTGAATCAAAGGTTTGTCATGGAATACTAACTGAAAAATTAACTCTCGTGTGTGCTTTTCCAAGATTAATATGTTGTATCTTTTGGTTAAATTGCGAGTAAAGATGTGTATTCATTCTTCTCTGATCTTTTTCCCGTTGCAGTCAAATGGATTGAAAACTGTATCAGTTGGAGCAATTAGAGAAGTACTTCAGAGAGTAGTCTGGAAATCTTGATGATCATTTAAGATTGGTGAATTATCTCCATCTGAAGACGATGCCGATTAGTCATGTCCTTAGAGGATAGTTAGGGCTTGTGTATATTTTTCTACTTTGGAAATGCATTTTGCATAGATTTGACAGCCTACAGAGAAGTAGTAATTTGGAGTAACTTTCTTCCAATGTATCATGTTTCTTGATCATCACTTGGTTTGTGGTCCTCTGAGAAGTTCATGAAAGTAGAGTTGCTCAATCTAGCAATTGATTTCTGTCAGTGAGTGCTTTTCTCTCTTTCCCACTCCTCCCTTTGAAAGGTCACTTCAGAAATAGAAAAGGGTTCAGTTACTCAAGCGTGAAGGGGAGCCTTGGCGTAATTGGTAAAGTTGTTGCCACGTGACCAGGAGGTCATGGGTTCGAGCCATGGAAACAACCTCTTGCAGAAATGCAGGGTAAAGCTTCGTACAATAGACCTTCCCTGGACCCGTGCATAGCGGGAGCACTATGCTCCCGGCTGCCTTTTTAACTTGCTCAAGTCATTCAGCATTATTGGGACTTGAAATTCAGCAGCAGTTAGATTCATGTTAAAGCATTTTACTTTTTAAAACATGCTTAAGCTCTTTCATTTACATTTGAGATAAAAGGAGGTAGTAAATGAAGTGGTAGAATGCAACTCTCAGATTGGGGTCAATGGCAAGTACTTGACTGAAAGACTTCAGTGAAAAGGGTCATATTAGATGATACAAATTAGTATTAGAGGTATGTTTACTTTCAGATGACCTGAAAAGTAAAGAGGACCTCACATGTCCCTCCTTTTTCTTTAAATCTGAAAAAGAACCAAAGTGAAAAAGTAGAAGGGCCACAAAACTCCCTTTATCATGTAAAATCCCACAAAAGTTAAACACCAAAAAGAGGATGGTAAAGGTATGGTTACAGCTTTTCCAATTGAAGTTGAACTTGTTAAAAGAGGAAACCATTAGTATCATGTGTTAGGGATATAGTAGATATGCCCTATATCCAATCTCATATTTGATGATTTGAACATATTTTTGTGAATGTTATTTGATATAAAAATATATGGCATTTGATATTCTTTTATATATCATAGTTATTATTAATAGTTGGTCGCCTATTAAGATTTGACAGTTGAACCATATCCTAGGGTGACCCAGAGCTATAAGGACAAGAGGAATTACTACATTATTCTTCTACTGGTTCGTGAGAGTAAATTGTATACTTCATTCTATTCGGTCGTTAAGGAGTGTTGCTAGACGCCACCCTTGATTAGTATATTGATGTGATCAATTTACTACCGGTTTAGTATTGAACCTATGGGGTCGCACACTAACGAGTGTTCTGATCTTTGCTAAAGGATTAGTTACTTTATTATTTGTTAATTAAATTAAAGAATTTAATTAGTTAAATAAATTTAGTTATTAGTCCAAATGAAATATTATTATATTCTTTGCTAGCACAGAGGATATAATTAATATTGTGAACAAATTGAAGTTTCTATTTAGAATAGAAAATAAATTATTTTTCTTGGTTGAAATATATTTGAGATATATATAATATGAATTAATATTGATTTATATAAAAGTTATATATATAAAATATTAATTAATTTACCAATTTGGAATTGGATAGGAAAAGTCCATAAAAGGACGTATGAATTGAATCCAACCAANCTTTCTTGTTTATAAGGAGCGGTCTGACTACCAGGAGACGTATAGTTCGAGAATATATTAAAATTATTTATTGCATTAGATGTATGGATTGAAAGAATTATTCAATTTTACACTAAACGCCTGGACCACCCGAGGAGTATAAAATTTAATAAGTTCTTTGTTATTATGATGGTTGAACTCAACTATTCCAATAGGATCGACCTGACTACCAGGGGGATATTTGACATAGAGCTATTTAAGGAAATTATATGGGGATACAATTGGTAAGAGTACCTACCTTTAAAATATATGTGAGAAACGACTTGACTTCCAAGGGGCTCATATATATTGTTAAAGGATTCCTTTACTCCACTAATAGAAATAAAGATTTCGTAAACTATAATGAGGGTAAATAGTTTAAAATAATTAGTGAAAATATCATTTAGATAAAAGTCCATGTCTTTATAATATATGCAAATATGTTCTTATATTATTGCCTTTTCTTTTTCTATATTTTAGATTTCTCAATATGTCTGCTATATCACTGCGTGGAATACTTGAGACCAACAAGTTGGTAGGACCAAACTTTGATGATTGATACATAAATTTGAGAATTGTTCTCATGCATGAAAAGCTTATTGATGTGATCGATAAGCCTACCAAGGAAGTCCCAGATGAGGATGATGATGATGCTACCAAGATTTATCAGAAATACTTGGAAGAATGTCTTACTACCAAATGCATCATTCTCGCTTCTATGAATTCTGAACTACAGAGGAAACATCAGGATATGGATCCAACTGCAATCATTGAACATCTTAAGAAGATGTTTGGTACACAAAGCAGGACAGCTAGATACCAGTTATCTAAGGTTTTATTTGGATCCAAATTGACTGGAAACTCTCCAGTTGGACCCTATGTCAATCATATGATTGATCTCATTGAAGAACTTGAGAAGTTGGGGTGCAAACTGGGTAAAGAGCTTTCTCAAGATTTGATCTTGCAGTCACTATCAGAATCCTTTTCACAATTTGTTATTAATTTCAATATGAATAAAATGGATTGTGATCTTCATGAGATGCTTAACATGCTGATTGATTATGAGAATCAACTTCCATCTGAGAAGAAGAAAGGAACTGTCATGTTGGTTGGAAACTCTTCTAAGAAGAAGAGTAAGGGTAAAATTAAACCCAAGAAAAAGCCTACTGCGCCCAAGGGTGGTGTGACCAAACCCAAAGGCAAAGAAAGCAAAGCTGACCATTCTGATGCTGTATGTTTCCATTGTAAGAAAGTAGGACATTGGAAGAGAAACTGTCAGAAGTATCTTGCAACTTTAAAGGATAAGAAACAAGGTAAGACCTTAATGAAAAATGTTTTCAAGTTTCTTTAACTACTACTAATTCTTCATTGTGGTTATTAGATACTGGCAGTGGTTATAACATCTGCAATATGTTGCAGGGGTTCCAGATAAGTAGAAAGTTGAAAAAAAGGAGAAATTAATCTACAAGTTGGAAATGGTGCAAAAGTTGCGGCCGTAGCTGTAGGATCAATTTCTTTAATAATGCCTACGGGCAAAGTACTTATGTTGGATGGTTGTTATTACGTTCCTAAATTTCTTTCGAACATAATTTCAGTTTCTATGTTAGACAAACGTAGTTTTCGCATTAATATAGGCAATGGTATTTGCTCTATTTATTATAGTGATAATTTATATGTGAATGGCTATCTCCAACATGACGTTTATGTCTTACCTAATGTGAATGCTAATTCGATTATGCATGTTTCAAGT